TGGATTTCAGGCCAAGTGTGAAGACTCCCTAACTTGCCCCACGGAACCACACCCCACAGCTTCAGACGTCTTTTGTATCAGAAGGCCAATTGTGAAATGTTTCAGAAGTCCTTGATGACATGGATATATGTCCTGGATTCTGCTGCCTCCCAGGCAATGTTTAGTTTTCTTTTTTCTCCCTGTTGTGGGTTTTGATTTTCCCCCAGAAACTGGTTTTATTTGACAGACTCAAGTCTTTAGGTTCTCAATAAAGGGGAAAAGCCTGATTTAAGAAAAAAGCAAAACCAAAAGGCATCGCACCGCCTGTGTCGTGTCTTTCAACCTCCAGGACTGAAGCCAGGTCCTGAGGATCCCACCTCACTCCCTGGCCCTCGGCCGCTTCCTCTCTGGCTCCTCCTGCAAGCAGGGCCTCCCCTCACAATCCAGGCTGCATCTTCTGGTTTCCATCTGGCCGAAATAGAGCAAGGCTCTCCATCCAACAGGAGAGGAAAGATCTGGGCCTGGCTCCCATTGGTCCCAAGCCAGTTCACATGGCAACCCCCAACCGATCACTATGTCTTGGTGAATTCGAAGGGCTGACTGATTGAGGCCCTAGTCAGACACACATAAGGGTGGACGGACATTAACTTGCCCAGAACCACTTTTCTGACAATGTGTCCTGCAGGAGCCAATATAATAAAAACCACCACTGTGGGCTGTTGTTTTTAGAGACAGGAAAAAACTCACTACTGATCCTCAGGTTCTCATTTTGTGCTGAGAATCAGGGGCCCTCAACAAACAAGCACCAAGGACCAAATGCCTAACGAAATTCAAGCGCGGGCTCTTCAACCTTCCGGCATGGACCTGAGCTTCCCTTTCAACTCTCCCCACCCCTCCTACCCAGGTGTCACCATTTTCCCCAGGGGGAGCAGGTGGAGAAACTAGTTAGTCCTTTGGGGTCCAAAATTAAGCTCCAGGCAGGGGTGAGGTCAATTCACAAATCTGCTTCAGCCTCCTCATGCTGGGACAGAAAGAAGGGGAAGAGTGAAGCTGTATATCAGATGGGGTAGGTAGCATTAATTCCCTATTTCTGCATTAACAAGAGTGGCTTCAAACAATCCAATGCCTTATTTTACAGCTCCGGAGTCCAAAGTCCAAAGTGCACCTATCTCAATGGCTAAAATCCAGGTGTTAGTGAAGGCCAAGTTCCTTTCTTTTGTTTGTTGTTTTTCTTTTCCAAGTTCCTTTCTGCAGGCTCTAGTGGAGAATCCATTTCCTTGCTTTAAAAAAAAAATTATTTTTGTGATTTGGATGAACGTTTATCAGGCAATTCATGCACAGTTTGTTCTGTGACTTGAATCTCCACAAGCTCTCCTGAAGCTTCCTCATGGTGTTTACCGGTTCCTAGCCCTTCCCAACAGCTGAGCCCGGGAAAACCCTGCCTTTCAGACCTTGCAAGGTTAATTGTCCTAGGGAATGGACGCCTCTCAGGTGTTATCATTCACCTCACTGGCCCCCAATGTGGTTCAGCTGAAAGTTGAGGTTCTAGCCTTCAAGGGCAGCTGAGGGTCAGAGCCTCGGTGGTTCCGCCAGTGTCCAGCAGAACAAGTAAGCTTAGTCTTTTCTGATGTTGAGTTTTGGGCCACCTTTTTCTCTCTATCCAGCATCTCCTATTTGTTAAAACGGGAATAAAAGGAAAGCGGACCCAGCTCGTGGGTTTTAATTCACGGGTCTTATTAAAGTTAATGACCTGCCCGGGTGTTTAAAATGGAACGAGAGTAAAGGGGGCAGGGTGAGGGGAGATTGGAAGACAGAGTACAAAGTGAATAGCTGAACAAGGGAGAGCTAGAGACAGGAAGAGACAGAGGGACAGACATGCGGCCACCTGAGAAGGTGAAGAAAGTCAGGGAGAGCGAGAACAAAAGAATCCCGTGTTAATAAACTTCGGGACAGGCTTCTGGAAGACGTCTCCAGAAGGCGAGGTGTCACGTTAGGCTCCATGGGGTTAGAGACACTGGCTATGGCTGAGAACCGTAGTGGTACTGCTAGACCCTTTACTAGTGTGACCCCTTTCTGAGCCATCCACAGTGGGAGCCTAGCCCCATCTCGTCCTGGGCTCTGGGTCTGGAGGCTTGGCTTTGCACGAATTGTTTCCCAGCCATTTTCCTCTTCTCCTCGAGACTCCACATTCTTCACCCATGGTGTCCTTCCATTTTCAAAGACGGCAATCATTGGTCCACTCTTTTCCACATCCATGGTGTCCTTCCATTTTCAAAGACGGCAATCATTGGTCCACTCTTTTCCACATCCATGGTGTCCTTCCATTTTCAAAGACAGCAATCATTGGTCAAATCTTTTTCACATCAAACGACTTGACTCTTCTGCCTCCTCTTCCACAATGTAGACCTTTGGTTTAAGGTCTCCCATTCAAATAATCTCATTTTAAGCAAGCTAATTAATAACAATTCTGTTTTCAAATGCAGCCCTCCCTCACCATGGAACATAGTACATTCACTGGGGATAAGGACCCGAGCATCCCGGGGGCATTATTCTGCTTGCCACAGGAGGCGTCTTCCAGTGGTTGGACCCAGCCCTTAGAGTGGGTGGGGGGAGAGGCTTCCTCCTTGGAACTGGAGCTACCAGGTAGAGGGTGTTTGGCAGATTCTACATGAAGCCCCGGCTGAGCCCAGAGCCCAGTTCATGGAGATGCCCTTTCTAAGCCACTGGTCCACATTAGACTTGGGAGCATTCGGTCAGGCGCAAAGCAACCCGACATCACCGAGATGAGTGGAGAAGGTGCCGAAGGGGAGCTGGGCTGTCTGGGATACCGGGAGTCCAGGAGAAGGTGAGGCTGAGGAAGCTGCTTGACTCAACAGGGGACGGGGCAAGGGAGAGAAAGCCTTTAGACAGCTGGGTGAGGAGATCCGTTTTAGTCATTCAGCAACTACCAGCCACCCCAAAGGTGGGTTTCAGCCAGAGGAGACTGGTGCTCAGGCAGGGGACACTAACCAATCCTTACCCCATGTTGTTGATGCAATCTTTTTCACTTCTCCAGAGTGACTTCTTGGCAGGAATTCTGTGGCATCAGTTGGACTGGGTTCAAATCCCACCGTCCCACTTCTGTGATATCCAAGGAAAGTGGACTAAGCTCGCTGACCCTGTGGCTCCTTATCTATGAAATGAGGATGGCATTACCACTTACTTCACATGCCTATTAAGAACTAGCCCTCGCAAGATATGACAAAATAACAATTTATAAACTATCAAGGGCTCATGAGGGAGGGGGAAAATGAGGACCTAATGCCGGGGGCTTAAGTGGAGAGAAAATGTTTTGAGAATGATGAGGGCAATGAATGTGCAAATGCGCTTTACACAATTGACGTGTGTATGGATTGTGATAAGAGTTGTATGAGCCCTAATAAAATGATTTAAAAAAAAAAAAAAGAACTGGCCCCCATCACATTGTGGGGTGAAGGACTGTGAGAAAGTCTGAAAGAACCCCAGGTGGGTTGGCAGTAAGTCTAACACTGTCAGCATGAGCCGTCCAAGACAGGGTTCGGTTTTCACCCTTACAACTAGCTGTGCGAGTTTGGGCACACTGCTTAACCTACTTGAGCCCGAATCATTGAATACGTCTAACGGGTTCCAAAGAGCCCTAATGGCACAGTGGTTGAGTGCTCAGCTGCTAACCAAAATATCATCATCAGTCTAAACCCACCAGCTGCTGCTCCATGGGTGAAACTACCTGGCCATCTGTTCCCATGAAGATTCCACCCTAGGACACTCTATGGGACAGTTGTACTCTGTCCTAAAAGGTCATTGAGGAGCCCCGGTAACGTAGTGGGCTACAAACTGTGCTGCTTAACCATGAGGTCAGTAGTTCAAACCCACCAGCTGCTCTGAGGGAGAAAAATGAGGCTGTCTGCTCTGGCCAAGATTTTAAGGTTCTCAGAAACCCAAGGGGCAGTTCTACTAGATGCTGAGTTTGAGTGGACTCCACGACAGTGAGTTGATAGGGTCACAACACTTCAAAACTCGATGGCACAAAACACCATTGTGGACCAACTCTGAGGCAAGCAGCTTCCAAAACCCCAAACCCGCTGTCCTGGAGTGAATTCCAAATCATAGTGACCCTACAGGACTGAGTAGAACTTTCCCATTGTGTTTCTCAGGCTGTAGAGCTTCAGGGAAGCGGACAGACACTATTTTCTCCTGTGTAACAGGTGGGTTTGAACCACCAGTCTTTTGGTTAGCAGCCAAGAACTTGCCCCTGGCACCACCTGGGTAGGTAGGTAAAGAGGAGATACCATGAGTACTTTCTTCCTAGGTTGATGTGACACTGCAGTTAAGATACTCATAAACCACCTGATTCTGTGCCTGGTGTGTAGGCTGCACTCCAATGTTAGGATCAAGTTCCCATCTACAGGGACTGGGAGGGGGTGGTGGTGAGGAGCAGCTTGGCTGGAAGGGGAGTTAGGACATGTATGCTCTGACATGTCCAGACCTCAACCTTTAGGGTGGCGCTGGTGTGATTGGCAGGTTCATCCAGGTCGACACAGGCTGGCTGGCCCCTGGCCAACTCAATGTGTTTCCCTTTGCCTAGTAACAGTGAGGTGTGGCTGCAGCCTGGCATGGAGGGGGACAGTTCAACTAACTAGTAGCTGAGAGCAACCCAGTTCTGGAATCCTCTGGCTGTCCCCAATGCTGAGGACCAGCTCCTCAGGCTGAAGGAGACCAGTAAGTGGAGAGCGACCTGGGACGAGCATATTAGGTCCTTCGCCCTTATTACTTCCCGGGAGCATGGGACTGGGCCCAGCTAGTATAAGAGTTAAGGCCTAATTTAGGAGCGTCCCTAAAGGCCATGCAGTAGGGATGGGCCCCTACTATCAACCAGGGGTGGTGGTGATGGGGTGTGGGGAACAGGGGGTGAAGAGCAAGGACTGTGCCACTCCCCGCAGCTCTAGACCAGGATCAGGACGAAGCCTCACCAAACAAAATGCCCTGCGCCGTAAGTTCGGGCCATGTATTCCTATAGCTGCTTGCTGCCCGAGGAGGGCCTCTGGCCTTCTCTGCAGCCCCTTGCCTACACCTACCTGCCCAGCCCTCTGCTGCTGCCCCCGATCCAGGCCCACAACTTCTGCAGCAGACCCCCCGGCCTGAGCGCGGGCGAATGGGCGACTCCGCGGGAGTACCACTGTTTCTATGGCCCCAGCGCGCCCCTGCCCGTCGCGTCGCCCTACTGGGCTTTCCCACCGGCCTACGCCATGGCTCCGAGCCCGCTATTCCCCGCGACCGGCTACGCGGGGCCCGGGCCACCGCCCCCCGCGGCGAGGGAGGGCGAGGGCTCGGCGCCGTGGCCGGAGGGCGACAGCCTGCAGGCGGAGCTGCGCTGGGGCCGCGTGGAGCGCGCGCTGGACCCGCGCCACCCGCTGCCCGACTACGTGCGCCGGGAGCTGCGGCGCGCGTACGGCACGTACCCGCGCACCGACGTGCGCATCACCTACCGCGGCGGCGAGTTCCTGCTGCAGGCCGCGCCGCGCGTGC